CTTGGGTGATGACTCACGGGGATTGGGGCAGATCTCGGACTGGGGTGCGGTGCGCTGCTGGAGGAGGCTGCCAGCCCCAGCTCGCGCTGCGCCGGCCTCGCCCGGACCCACGCCGCTCCTTGGGGTTGGCTTCTGGTGCACCTGTCTTCCAGGCGTCTCCAGTTTGGGGGACCTAAGGTGTGGGCAGGCCGGAAGGGAGTTCAGACAGTGAGGTCGCGGCGGGTCTCTTGTTCCTTTGAGACTTTAAAGAGTTTGCCCAGAGTTTAGCCGCTCGTCCGTCTGCTTCCTGGAGTGGATTTTCGCCGCTTGGGCTACGGATGGTGCGCGAAGAAACAGGGTCGCGAATTCGCGGAACCAGCTCTTACCGAACGTGACCCTGTAAGGCCTGGGGTCAACACAAGGCCCCACTGCAAGATTCTGAGCCCCAGGCCTGGACCCAGCCGCAGGAACAATCCTCTGGCTCTCTTCTTTTCACTTCCAGACATTTTCCCTACGGGAAACAAGGGCGGTTCCACCCAGGTCGGTGAGGCAGCAGCCGGTTTCATAACTGGAACCGCGGGGCCTTGTTTTCACCTCAGCCAACTGAGTCCTTGTTAGAGCCAGATTCTGAGTGCCACAAGCTGGCAGGGCAAGTTGAATCAAACTATTTTTATTTTCAAAGAAAAAAAATGGGGCTCTGTTCCTCTTAGAGGTTTTTCCCCCCTCGTTTCAATTTTAGGCCATTAAAAGTAAAGTTCAGAGAAGTCTATCTTGACTACATTCCCTAGAGCTGGAGAAAGGAAAGAGTTTTGTATTTTTGTATTTTTAAAATTAATTTTACTAAAAGTGATCACGTTTGCACCCACACACAGTTAAACCTCATAAAATGTAACTTTATTCCCAAAGTTAGGCTCATTATCATGTAAGGATACAAATCGCACATCAGAATGAATCCTAGGAATCAGCCCCATTTCCTCCACACCCTTGTAGGCTTTAGGCCCTTTCTAACTCTCTTTTCTGAAGATTAGTGTGGTTCTTTATCAGCAATCTGTAGAGGTTTCACCTTAAATTGGGGCAAACCTTGCTGTGTAATTCAAGGCAATTTTTCACCCACAGCCCAGGTTTAGTTGGAAGCCCCTGTATTGCTTTGGAGAGGGGGACAGAGAGAGAGGACTTCCTGGCTCTGGAGAGCTCACAGTACAGCAAGCTGGAGGGCTGAATCCTGGGTGAGGGAAGCAGGTTTGAGGCCCAGTGGCTTGGATCCACCAGGCTCAGCAGGCAGTGACAACCAGAGCACAAGGTCACTCTGCCTCCCCGTCTCTTCATTTCTCTGTATCTCTACCGCATACAGATACTAGATCTTCCTCTGGCCTGGTCTCCACACCCCAGGACCAGACAGGCCTGAATCCCTGAGCCCTTCTGCAGGTCTGGGCTGGCTGCAGTCTGAAGGCCTGGGATCCCTGACCAGCTAGAGCATGAATGTGCACAGTGCAGCGGGGTGATTTGTGGGGATGCAGCTCTCACAGACTTGGCACTGCTGGCCCCAGGGGCCACCGGGCTGCTCTCTGGGACCTTTCAATGGCACCCACACTGCGGCAGCAGCCCAGAGCTGGTAGGCCCCAGTTTGCAACTCAGTGGCACCCTCAGCAGGTTACAGGAATACAACCCCAGCTTAGCAGCCCTGTCGGTAGGGTGGGCAGTGGGATGGGGCAGAGGGTGTGGAGGCTGGGTTGGAGAGGGTGAAAGGGCCTTAAATGCCTCCCCCAGCCCAAAAACTGAAGGAAAAGAAAGTGAAACCTAGAGCTCCCCTGGAGGACACTGCGGGTTATAGACCTGGGTTCTGGGCCTAGGATGTGGCTGAGAGGCCAAAGCACCCTGAGTGGTGGGTGCCCCGTAAGGTGTTAGTCCCCCAACTCCTGACTAGCAGCCACTGTGCCCCAGAGCAGGCCTTGGGCCAGGCCACAAGGTCTAATCCTGGGAGTTGATCACTGTGCGGCAGAGTAGGGTGCCCATGAAGTCCCCAGCGCATGAAGCCAAGTGACTGTGCTTGCGTTAGTGTGGAAAGCCAGCTCAAGGGAGTGCCCAGAGCCCGGGAGCTCATCCCTCTGGTGCTGAGTTCCCTTGCCAGCTCCGGCCTTCCCCCAAGCTTTTTGGAGCCTGTGGCATCACTGAGTTCTTTTGGAAGAATTGCTCCCCCCATGGGCTTTGGATTGGGGTGGGGGTGGGGTGAGAGGTGGGGATCCCTCCTCCTCTCCCCTTCCTTACCCCAGTTAAGAAAGGCTTGGCCTGGAAGCAACCCCCCACCCCCAATACAAGACACACTGAAGAAACCTGGGAGGCCCAAGATGTTTGAGAAACAGGCCTAGAGAGCAACCAGGGTCTGTGAGGCCAGATATACTGTGCTTGAGTCTGCTGCATTCAACAAGGTCAGAGACAGATGAAACTTTTTGCAAGAGAAATGAAGAAGCTCAGTTAGAGAAATTACTCTGTATCCAAAAGTATCACATTAGGTCTTTGTTTTCTTTTCTTTCTTCTTAAAAAAAAAATCGCTGACACTGAAACATAAGTGGGAAGAAGACCCAAGGAGCGAGCAGGGCCCTGTGCTGAGCCAAGAGCCTGCAAAGGGCAACTTGAATGAGGGGCTGGCTGGGGACCTCCAGATGCCTCCTCAGCCTGGGCACTGCAGCCACTGCGTGCAGTAGTCGGTATCATCAAATCATACAGGAACTCTCCCTTCTTTAATTAAAAAGGGGAATCTTGGGAAAACTGGAGCAGATGAGCACGGAGAAGAGTTGGTTCTCAGTGACTTATTTGGATACTTATTTGGATGCGTGTGTTACTCTGTCTGGATTCACAGGCACACACTGCTCTGTACTAGGGCTGAACTCCAAAAAGCCGCTGTGCGCCTCCGCGGGATCTCTGTATCCTTGTCCACGTTGCACCTAGGAAATCTTAACCTAAACATCAAGTTGAATTGTCAGTTGGCCCCAGCTTCCTAGAAACGGGAAGAAAATCTTTTAACCCCTGGAGCTGTCGAGTAACCTCTTCAGGGTACACTTTTATTTTACACGCATCAATTAAGAGATCGCAAACCCTAGCCTACCGACTGGAGCTATTTGGCAAAATCTCCAACCTGGGGGAAAGAGCAAAGCCAATAAAACTCCCAGGGCGTTTCGGCCCGAGGGGGTAGCGGCCGCTGGTGGAGGCCATCTCTTGTTGGGGAAAAATGCTGGCGTGACATCTCTGATCTTGGTTTGGTGGTTATGTGTAATTGCGAAAGGGATAATGATTTCTAATAAAATTGGACGGGGCAGAAAGAACAGCTCGGATAGTGGCAGCAGCGGGGGTGTTGGTGAGGGGTCCCCAGGCTCTCAAACCCTGCGTTGCACGGAGCTTTGCAGAATGCGCTTCGGGAGAGGAGGAAGCCGACGGAGAGGGAAGGAGGAAGTGGACGAAATTGGGTCGGGGTGGGGGGCGCTGGAGCCAGAGGTCGAGGAGAAGCTCCGGGAAGATTCTGTCGGGCAGCATGCTGGCTGGCACTCTGGGTGTAAATTCTGGGCTTGGAGCAGCCTTTATACCTGGGTCGGAGCGGCCGGCGGCAGACTGGGGTACTGGAGAGCAATTGGACTATTGTTGATATGCTAATGAAGCGATTAGGCTGTGCGTAAAGAGCTGGAAAAGGGAAAAGTTTCTACCATTAGAGGGAGATCTACCCTGCACTAAATCCACTATGTGCCCTAGACTTTCTCCAATATTGCTATGAACTGCCTATGTCTTCTTTTTCTCCTCCTCCTCCTCGCCCTCCTCCTCCTCATCGACCTCCTCCTCCTCCTGTGCTCACCGCCGGCAGCCGGCACTTTGCGCTAACCTAGAGAGTAGCTTCACTTGGGCGCGAGGCGGAGAGGGGCACAACCATTCACAACGATCCATGAAAATGCTTTGGAAACTGACGGATAATATCAAGTACGAGGACTGCGAGGTAAGCGCGGTGCCGGCTCAGTCATCCTTGCGGCCACAGCCTCGGAGCTCGACCCTCCCTCTCCTCCTCTCCTTGCAGCCAGCTGCGAGAGGCGGGTGGGACAAACTTTTGCCAGCGCAACGCCGCCCCTGCTTCCCGAAGAACTCGGGGGAGAAGCTGGAGAGGGAGGATCTAGACGCTCTCTTTCTGTGTCCCTGCCTCGAAGCCCTTGTCCCACTTTACCCCTTTTCGGACCACTTTTGGCTGTGTCTGAGAGTGGGGCAAAGAGACGAGAGTGGGTTTTTAAAATTTTTTCTTTTTTTAAACAATCGTGGGCAATCGGGCACGCGCCTGTGCATCCGTGTCTCACAGAGAGATTCTGAGTCCCAAATCACAATTCCTCTCCGATATTCTCTCTCTCTCTCCCTCCCTCTCTCTCTCTCTTTCTCTCTCTCTCTCTCTCTCTCTCTCTCTCTCTCTCCCTCTCTCTCCCTCCCTCCCCCCCTCCCTC